AGTGATTGGATCCCGATCGATTCGACCAGATAAAATAAACAAAACCCAACCACCACCAGCCAAGCTCTGCTCCAAATCGAAAGTGAAAGCCACACAAAGCCTAGAGTTCAGTGGTTCTGGGCTGGGTTGTTGTGGGGGGTCAAAAGGTGAAGCTTTTGGTTTGGTTAAACCACCGAAGATGCAACAAGTGCATATTGCAGCTATAAAGTGATATAAGATTAAAAAAAAATGACAGAAAGTTAGGCTAAAAGTTTAAGGAAGTTTTACATTAATCCAGACTACAATGTAGTAAGCTTAAGATCAATGCTTAACCAGCAACAAGGTTATAGAAGCAATTATAGTCCGTGATTAATTTCGATCTAAATATCAATTACACATTAAAACTTGATCATTTAATCCCCTTTAACATTGGCAGACACAATACCCTGAGGTGTCAGAACCACCTCCTGCTCCACCCTGCTCCACTTGACACCACCTAACACTAACCCTGACCCAACCTTGCACCGTCAATCAGTCCAGCGAATGCCAGGCAACACACGCTTGGATCTCCACTATCATTGGTTCTTCTCTTGCAGTGACACCACCGATCGATTGAACCGCTCTGACTTGCACCACTGAACCACTGAACCACTGAACCACCGAACCAAACCGTACCGTACTGAGCTGAGCTGGCCTAAACTGAACCACCAACGCGGGCAAATAGAGCATAGCCATGCCGAATGTTTGGCCAACTGTGTCTGCACAAAAAATTTGAAAGTAATACTTTGGTGTTTAAAAGAAATATATACACAGTATATATGCTGATATTAAAAGATCAAAGTGCGATGAAAAACATTGGGAAAGGTGTTTTTGATAGTGAAAAGAATGATAAGACTGAGATCTCTTTCAAAAACTATATTGATTTCGTGGGAACTTTAAGGAGGATTCTATGGATCCACCTCGACTTATGCAAATGGGGGCCGTCCTTCTAGCCAGGTCGGTGGGGGTGGAAACTTCTCAACCAGCTTGACCCACGCCAGTTTGTTGGGGACTTTAAAATGCTTTAGTTAAGTTTGTAGCATGTGGCGCGAGGTCTTGACATTGTACCTTGAGCATTGTCATGATTTGTTGTCATCAGCGGGTTGCAAATGAAAAGCTGCCAAAGCAAATCAAATGGCAAACAGCAAATAGCAAACGGCAAACGGCAAACAGCAAATGGCTAATAGCAAATTGTTTTGCCAACTTGAAGGCATGGCCATCCAGCATCGGACGTCTCCACACCCAGTGGGCGTTACACATGTGGTGTATGGTGTGCGGTGCATGGTGGTTGTTGCTCTACTTTATGCTAGATATATATTACTATATATCTGTACTTTTCTCGTGAGTCATGGGACTGGAGAATTGATGGGAGAGACTTGGCCGAGGCGAGTGCTAATGTTTAAAAACAGAAAAAAATTTAAAACAAAAACCAAAAGGGGCTCTGAAAATGCAATTGCACAAGACGGCAGGCAGCACGGTGCACAAATTGATAAACCAAATGACGCGCTTGAGTGGTTGTTGTTGCCCATGGTTGCGCCATGGAAATTCTTGCCAAGGTTCATTTAGCCGAACATGCCTTGCGCCTTGCTTTAATTAAACTTTTGCCCACTAAATGTTTTACTTTTCGAATCGCTCTGTTCGGCCACGTCGGTGCGGCAATCTTTCGATTGGTGTAGCAGTGCTGGTCGCGCCTGCGGTTACCCTTTGAAGTTGCCCAAAACGGGGCGCGAGCCATAAATGAGGCATCCCACCACCACCGAACATATGTGGGTGGGTGGCTGTCTGATTTGCATCGCATATTGCACAATCCGCTAATTAAAATGTAAGCCAACCCATTGGGTTGGGTTGATCGGAAAATGTGGGTGGATGTTCTTACACAGAACATCTCCTCATTTGCCATCCTATGATAGGAATTTATAAATAAGTTATACATCGAAATCTACATATACTATTCTATATCTCTTAAAGTTAAAGCTCAGAACTGCTACTACTGCTACCAGTCCATTAGGCCGCTGGAGTTACCCAATCTTTTTTCTTGTTTTGTTACCATTATGGCTGCGCTACCTGGATGTGGCACTTTGTCATCTTGCAGTGGCATTTCGGAGATGCGAGCACTCAACACCGACACTTTGTGGCATGTGGGCGAAGCTTATCTTTTGGCTGAGGGCTTTGAGTCGGAGTTGCCACAAGATAAACATGGCCAAGGTGTCCGCAACTTGAGGCTCTCGCCATAATTACAAGAAGCTGTTGTCGTCGTCGTCGTTTTCCGACTTTTGGGCAGAAAGGCAGCGAGCAACCAAGACGGACAGCAAAAAAAATTAAACAAAAAGGAAGAAAGGCTGCGATAACAGAAGTTGGAAATACCCTAGCAAAAATGACTTAAGAATAATTAAAAGTTTAACAACAAAAACACAAGTAACACACACAAGAGCCCAATGAAGGACATATTCTGTATAAGTTATATTAAACCTCTTAAAGAATTTAATATACCCTTTGCTAGGGTATGTAAGGCAGCAATAGCCACGGCGACAGCGAAAAAAAATAAAGTTTGCAATAAGTTTTGGCTTACAAATTTGCCAAACAATGCAGATCGCTGGGCACGACGTTGAGCCGGGTATCTTTGGCTTTGTCTGTGGCTTTAAGTTTGGCCCAAAGTCGCCAGAGCTCTAGACTGAAGACCAGAGACTATAGACTGAAAGACTCTCGACCAGCGACTTGCGATCGTGGACTTGCAACTCCTCGAGTGGCTGATGGAACTCTTTTCCCTCGTGTGTGAGTGCCGGCAATTATGGTTGGAACGACTTTGGGGATTCGATCGCACTCGACTCGTGCCACGCGTCCGCATTTACAAGACCAACAAATTATGGATATCCCCCTGCCTTCTCTCTATAGCCACAGGGTTCATCAAAATCTGGGGGTACTTCTACTCCAATCTCATCGCATCTTATCAGATCGACTGCCGGATGGAAGGCTCCAGAAAGAGGTCATATCTACCTAACTCGACTTCTTACTTAACTTTGACTTCATTGAGTATTTGAGTCCTGTTCAAGTTATGAAAGGTTTTTGATATATATAAATATATCAGAAATAAGTATATATATTTATGTATTGAATATAAAAAGGCGTTCCATCATAAGACTGTGGTTAAAGCATTGAGCTTTTCATCCTGAATATTTTCTATATGGTAACATGACTTTTCATAATGTGATTTGTGTTGAAGGAATCTCTTTTCAACTAGGTTCTACTGTATCCATTGGCTGACTTTAATATATATATATATATATATTCAAATCGAAAACAAAGACAAAAAGGGTTCGCTGATCTGCAAATGGAGCAACAATTTTTTTTTTAGCTTCGCTTGTATTTATTGTGAAGTTAAAAAAGTTTGCAAACTTTGCGGTTGGCGATTTATTTTCGGTGGTTTTTGTTGTTGTTGTTTTTGTCGTTGCTGTGGCAGGTTCACAACGAACACGACCAAAGTGAGAGAGCAGGGAGTTGAAGAAAGAGGAGCGGGTCAGTGGTAACGGGAAACTGTCCAAGTTATCCAGTTATCCATGTGCCTCACGCAGCAGTCGAAACGAGAGCAAAAGTAGCCACCGACATCGCTTGTTTCGGTGCATGTTGCCGCTGCACTGGCAGAAAATATCCCCACAAATTGGAGTGTTTCTCGAAATAATAAAGAAATTTTTAGGAAGTTTAAAGGGGAAGTAAAAAGTATTCTTTTTTAGCTTTAACATATATGTTGAGCTATTAATTGAAGGCATTTTAAGCTATTTCTTTCCTTTGCTTAGTAAGCAATAATATTCCGTATTTTGGCTTCACCTCGATAAACTAATAATCATTCCTCTCAGTGTACTTGTGCTTGCTGCTTTTCGCTTTTTGTTTTCTTAGCAGTTTAGCGCCCGCTGTCCATGATTGTCCCCATGCCCCACTCAGGTAGTCCCCATTCCAATACACCTCCCCTGCCTGCTGCTACCAGAGCCACTCCCCGCTGCCCCTCCTTCTCGGAGGAGTGTGTCCACGTACCAACATTGGCCTAATGTTGCACATTGTGTGCTGAGCCTGATCTTGTTTATTATGCAAGAAAGCTGCCAAAGTGAGCCAAAGCCGAGCGACACACCGCGATATATACGAGTGCCGAAGCCAAACGGCAACAATCGCAGAAAGTAAATTTACAAAAATTTCAATCGAACAAAGTGCTGAAGACTGTAGACTGAAGACTGAAGCCGAAGACTCTTGACCACCGCGACAAGAGAAATGGGAAGTTATGGGGACATGACCGGGTTGTGTCGAAAGTATATCTCCGTGATCAGAAAAAACGAAACGAAAATACCATAGCAAAGAGTTCCTATTTGGTTAGTTTCCAACAACTGCTGAAGTCTCTTTAGGAAGATTATAAGAAAGAATATATATGAAATATATATATATATAAAATGTTCTAAATTCATTCTTAAACTTATTTAAATTTATCAAAAGAAAGAAAACCAGAGTCAAAGGTTCAAAGAACCTTAATTCCTAATTATCGTTCCCATTACTTTTCAATAAGAATCTTATGCAAATACTAAGATTCAGTAATGAACCTCAATATATATCCCAGACAACACAAATTACCAATTAAAAGAAACTGAAATTCCAATCAGAATAATATCTTAGAATACCCGAAAACTGGTTCTCTATTGTTCCAATATTAATGAGAGTAACAAATGTAAAATCATATTTCAAAGTATAATTATAATATTCAAATTATTGTTTTCAAAATCTCAGCAATTATATTACTTTTGTTAACATGTTTTCGCCTTTTTTGTTGTATTTTTTTAACACAATTTTTTAAACTTAACACTTGTAATGTGTTGTTAGGTTTTTGAAATTCTGAAAAGGTTGCCATCGGGCCATCACTTTCACATGCCCACAACACGATGTCCATATAAAGTGGCTAATTGCTGGGCCTGTATCATCATCACTCTTATGGTTATTACGCATACCTTTTGCTAATTTATGACTTGTTTCACTAACTGGATGCAGCTTGTTTTTATTATTATTTTTTGTATTTATATTTTAACGATTGATTGGCGAATTAAACCCAAAAAAAAAAGGGGCACAACTTTATATAGCTTAAGCTGATTCCAAATCACATTTAAAGGCCTGCCCAGTAACGTTAGTCGTGGTTTATACGATATTTTATCTTTTTCAGATTTCGAAAAGAACCGCCGACGGAAAAACAGGCGGTTGAGGCGATTTGAAATTGCTCCGCACAGCGCGCACTTTGAATTGCGACTGATCAGGCTGGAAGTTTGCTAGGTGATAAAGCAAAGGCGGCACAATGCGGAATGGAACGGGCGAACGCCATGGAATAAGAGACTGGGAAACGAGTGGCATGGCACTTTTGCTGCAGAAGCGGCACAGTCGCAAAGTGGGCGGCACAGCGGCGCGTAGGCCTAAATGTTAATGCAATTTGCTTTATGCGCATATGGAACAACGCGATCGGGGTCTTGAATATACATACATATATATATACCTTTTTTTCGGGGTTTTCTAGGGTGTTGCAGACGGAGGAGTGGAGACAATAACAACAACACCATTACCAACAACCACCGACTGACGCTGTTCTTTTGTGACATATGGAACTGGGTCGGGTCAAAAGGTAAGTGCTTAAAATGCTCTTTAATGCCGCCAAGCTGCCAACTTGTGGTCATTGCGGGGTCCCTTATTTCTCTCCTTCTCCACTGACTGGAGCCGAAAGTTGGGCAAGCGATGGGGTAACCCCAAAAATTGGCGAGACCATAAATGAAGAAGGTGTGCAAGGAACATATAAGTCGACAGATTTAAGATTAAAAGCCTACAGCATCAACATAAACTGATCCGAAGGGTTAAGTTAGGATTACTTGTAAGTTTGATGGAAAGAATAAAAACCTTTTATAAGTCAAGATAACATTTAAGGGGAGGCAAAGGCAACTCTTCTAAGTTCAGATATAAATATATCAACTAAGAATGAGTTTAGCAGATTGACTATAAATTTTAAAGAGCCACAACCTTGCTTTAATTCCGCCACTCGATCATCCTTCAGACCAACCGGACTTCCTCCCCCTGAAAAGTTGATACATAAAGAGACCCTGATAGTGGGTTCTGGTTCTTTCATGGGCAAGGTCTTCTTTCTTCCATCGAGATGGTTGCGGTTCAGTGGGATCGGAAGTGTTTTACTACCGCTGCCACTTGGACGCTTTTGGCTAAGCCAAGCCAAAGCCAAGAGCAAGTCAACGTTGCAGAACTGCAGCCGAAAATCAGATCAGAAATCGGACAAGATTATGTGGATGGATATAACTTCAGACAATAGGGAGAATCAGGTCATTCGATCTAAGGCTTTATGAGAGATGTATTGCGACGCATTCGAGCAGAATATGCATATGATTAGGCCAAAATAAATCAGCTTACCTCAATCTCCGGATCCAGCCTCCATCAGAACAGGTTCAATTTTCAAATAATTTTATATTTGTATATTTTTTAGCACTCTTTTGGTTGTTTTTTCTTTTATTTTTTTTTTTTTTGGGATTCTTTCGACTGCACCATAAACAAAATTATTTCATTTGCATATTAGAAATTTTTGTTTCGATTGTTTTGCTTTTTGTTTTATTATTATTTTTTCTTGCTGCTGTTGTATTTCATATTTCACTTAAATATTTCTATATATCTTCATAGATGTTTATTATTGAATTCACAAAAACAAAAAGAAGTAAACAAAAAAAATAGCAATAGGTGAATCTCCGCTTATTAGCATTCAATTTGCTAACCAAAAAATGTGATTTACCCGCTGTTATGATATATATATTTATAGATCTGATCAATTCATAAGACACTTCACTTCACACCCGCCAAGTTTTTGAACGATTCTCCTGGCTGCCTTTCTGGCCGTGCTTAAAAGCGTTAAGAGGAAATTCGTCAGCTCTGGCCGAAAGCGAAACACTGACTGACTTGGCTGATAAAAACTTAGCCGTCTTGGAAGCAAACCGAAGCGAGCCAAACAAAAAGAAACCAAAATCCCAGACGAAGAAAACCGATCTTGGCTGAAACGACTGAAACGGCAGTGGAACGGTTCAAGTTAGTGGAAACGAAACGCGGCTTAAACTTGGCAGGGGGAAACTCTGCGGAGGGGGTAGGAAAATATGCTAATCATAGGCCTCGGAAATATTAGGCCCTGGATTAGTCAGTAGGCGTTCGAAAAAGCCAGCTGAAATAAGTCGTTCACTTGAAGTGCAGCAATTGCAGGCATAAAGGCTTATTAAGGGCTAGCTTATAGATTGTAGGCCGAAACTAATTGCTAGAATATGTACTAACTTAGTATGTACTAACTTAGTACATCCTTATTAGCTTATATTTCAAATTCTCTTAATTTTCTGTTTTAAATTTTTGTCTTCAGCGTTTCAAAGTTGACTTAATATTTTCTGTTATTTAAAAAATATTTAGGCTCATTTGAAGTTATCATTCATGTATCATAGAAAATATTTTTTTTCAATAAAATTAAAAAGACTTCAACAACCCAAACAAAAACCGACTTTAAAGATTTGTTCTGTAGTTAAGGTAACCCAAATTATTATTTTAGCTCTAGTTAGTTCCACAATATTCATGTCCATCGTAAAGTGCACAGACGGAAGTTGTAAAATATAAAAAAAATAGTAAAATTTACAAAACCAGAGGGGAAAAGGGGAGAAAATAAAACAAACCAATAATCGAAATCATTAGACAAAGGCGAACTGAGGCAATGGCTGCAATGAGTCCGACAACAATAACTAGAAATAGTACTTACCGATCGAATCTAATTGGTGGAGCGGGTGGCGACGGGGGCGGGAATATCCAAGGTGGAGAAGGGGGAGAAGCGGGCAGCTCAGTGGAGTCCATTGGGTGCGGCGCCAACGCTAAACATAACGGCACAATTATAGTCGTCGTCAGATATGTGCACACATATATCACAGCACTGAAAAAAATACAACAAAAAAGAGGAGTAATAAATGTTAAATTTATATTATATTATAATATTTTACAGAATATTAAATCAAAATAACAAAATATTCAAAGAGCAATGTAAGTTCTTTGCGTAAACACAAAAATTCTTAAGAAGGGAATTTATCGATAAACCAAAAAGGAAGTGAACATAATATTGCCTACTTTTCAGCAACTTCTTTTTGGCCCTAGAACAAAATCAAAATGGGTTTTGTAATTCAAGACACTGTTAACTTAAGCATAATTTGAAATATCAAAGCAATGCTATATAAAAATAGTACAAAATCTATAAACTATCATAAAACACAAGTTAATTGAGTAATAAATCTAGGAATTAAAGCTTACATTAAGTTTTTCGCTGTGCACCTCAACGGTAACAGTGCGCATATGTATATTATAATTTTACAATTTTTTTCCATAAAATTTTTCTATCTTTTTTGCCACATTCTCCAAGGACAAACAACATTTTAGTGAGCAACGACGTCGCCGGCGGCTAACGGCACAAACCCATTCCAAGATTGATCTACAAAATACAAAATACGAAACTTCAACTCTGAGTTTTTCGCGTTCGCCGACTTTCCTTTTTCTAACCTATGCCTGCGAGTGTGTTGAGTGCTTGTATCTGTGTGTGTGTTAGCCAAGTGTGCGGGCGCGCACTAAAACAATAACACAAATAAAAATACAAAATTCAAACACAAACTAAGCAAAAATAAGGCAGTAAAAAATTAAAATCCAGCTCTGGCAAAGAAAAGGTGTGGCAACGTTCTGTTTCAGTGTGTGGTTAGTAGACTATTGCCATTACTATTACTATTACTATAACTATTGCAGTTACCGTTACAGTTACAGTTTCAAAAGCCGTTAGCCCAAATGGCATATATATGAAAAATAAAGTGTTGGCTTTTCAGCAACTTGAAGGCAACGGCTTGAAAAATCATATAGTTTCAAAAATGAATCTATCCGGTTTAAAAATCTATTACAATGTTGTCGATATTAAAGGTAAGAAGTCCTAAGAAATAAATATTTGTAGAAGCCGAAATCAGTGTGAATATCCTCTCAACCCAATCAACTTCTTAGTTGGGCAATAAATTCAATCGAAATACGCTTCGTCATTGATTTTGGCCCGCAAATTTATGCTCAGCCAAGCGAAATCCTTTTTGGCCATTAAATTTTGGCGCTTGCCAAATCGTTTAGCAATTTATTCAAAGCGTCGGCGACAATTCACTTTTTCGGATATGGATGTAGATTCTTAGGATTGGAATTGGAATTGGATTCGAAATCAGAATCGGGGCGTTTTTTTATTCAGCAGGCTTTTTGGTTTTTGCGCAATGCCAAAATTTATGGCCAGCCACTTACCCGCCAGCAAGGTCAGAACACTTAGAAGTTGTGCTGCCGGTGGTGTTATTGGTGGTTCTGTTAATTCTGGTGTCGGTGCCACCGTGGTGACTCCAGGAGTTGTGGGGCATGCAACAGGTCGCAGCTATGGACCAGGAGCCACTCCAATGAGTCAGCAACTGCAACGACGGCAGCAGCAGCAGCACCTCGACTTTGATTTGTGGCACTTCGGGGCGAAAATAAATCAGCCAGCAACTGCACATTCCCAAGGCCGCCACCACACAACCACAACAAAAGGCTCCAGACCCACCCGAAACCCAAGCCCATACACTCAGAAAAATGTATGTTAACCTACTATTTATGAGAGCTATAACGAAACTTAAGTAATCTTGAAAATTCTTTAAGGATATCATATATTTTTTTTGTGCACTTTTCTATGATTCAGAATCGTTAGGCATTTTCACAATGAGCTCGCGAAATTTACAATGACAGTCCAAGAACTGCGATTTTCTTTTGCATGTGCATGAAAAGCCATGGAAAAGCCGCGCAAAGGTCAAGTCAAGTGAAATTGGTTGTTGGGACACAAAGGCGAGAAAGCAGGCGACGGAGGCGAACAGTGAAGAAATTATGTCAAAATTTGAATTAGCAGCTGGGAAAAAATAAAATGGCGATGGAAAGAAACAATAGCGGGGCATAAATTAATTTTTCCTATCAGCTGGCAGCCGCGGAAAAGTGCATTCGCTTTTCACTTTCGTGTTTGAAAAGAGTTGGGTTTGGTTTTGGATTGGTTTGTGGTTCAGTTTCCAGCTGTTCGCGAGAATTATTTCAGAGCGATAAAGACGTTGACAGTAGAAGCAGTTTCCCTTTTTCCAACTGCGGTTTCGCCCTTGGCGTGCGGTGAAAATGCATTTTCCCAGCGACGCCGAAGAATGGGGAAAACTGCATTAGAAATGAGGAAAAAACCGTCGCCCGTGAAAATTTGGATTTCGGTTGAGTTGGTTTTTCCCCCATTTCAGTTTCAATTTTGCGGGCGCTTAAAACTATTTAGCAAGTTTTCCGGATTGAAACTGACCACAAACCTTTCGTTTAAAACAAAACTTGATACATTTTTGAAATTATTTCTAAATAATAATTTAAATTTTAAAATATTTGACTAATTTTTTTTTTTTAGATAAATGGTTATCAACATATTATTTTTCGCCCCAACTAGCAACATTCAAATTTTGCCGCAATTTCAGAGCTAAACTAATCGAATGTTACTTTCGATATACTTAACCAGAACCACTAACGGTATTTTTTAGTTAATTTCTGTTAAGAAACTAAAAGTACTGCCAGTTTTTCAGCTGAAATTAGCTTTTTTGGCCAAAAATATAGAAAAGCTTATATCTTACAGAAAAACTGTAATTGTTTTCTCTAACTTAACAAATGCTTCCTGACATTACAAGTTTCTAGGATTTTGATTAATGTAACTAGTTAATGATTAGATATTCCTTAACTACATGTCATCACTAGCCAGCTGATCTTTAAGCTTTATGTAAACTATCACTTACATTCCAATTTTTAAAAAAAAAAAAATACTTAGTCTACGAAATAAGTGAAATTAAACCTCTTAAGCTTATTTTAAAAGGCACTTACCAGAATGAGCAGCATTTCGCCAGTTTACTATAATGCGGATGCAGTGCGTCGGTATCTAACATGGCCTTTGGTCAATGCTGCAGTGGAGGCGGCGCTTGTAGCTGTAGTTAAACCAAGCCAAGATCAGGAGACAAAATCATTCACGTCCTTTGCCATCCAACCGAAAAGGAGTTTCACTGCATGCGGAAATGAATCTGCTGGTATTCTGTTGACCATGCCCGCCTTTGTGGGCAACTACAGCCTGGGATCGAAGGAATCCCCCCGCTCTACGCTGGCCTGCAAACTGGTGACATCGTTCTGTGGGAATCAGAGGCGAGATCCCCCGCTACCCAGCATTCATGCTCATGTCATGCTATTCGATAAGCAAACCGGTCAACTATCAGCTATAATGGAGGGCACGGATTTGACCACATGGCGCACTGTTTCCGCTTCACTGGTGGCCACAAAGTATCTGTACTTCCGGCGATTTGGTTTGCAAGCGGAAAAGGAAAGGCAAATCAATGTGGCCATCGTGGGCTGCGGAGTCCAAGGGCAACACCATGCCGCAGCCTTTTGTGCCAACTTCCGGGTAAAGCAGCTCAATCTTTACAACCGAACTACGGCGAAAGCACAGAATTTAGCAGAGAAACTGCAGCGCGAATTGGGCAACGAAAGCGGGACACAGATTGCAGTTTCTCGGAGTGCCAATGAAGCTTGCCAGAATGCCGATGTAATCTGCATTGCCACGTACTCCTGCGATCCGCTGGTCCATCTTAAAGATCTAAAAGATAAGCAAGGCGTTCACATTAATGGTGAGTCTGTGTTTTGCTAGCTTTCCTATTTTCGAATGGGAGATTAACTTACCTTCCGCTTTCAGCTGTAGGTGCCGGCGAAGTCGAATTCTCGGAGGTTGCTCCTGATGTTTACCAGAAGGCTGAGATCTATGTGGATTGCTATGCCAATGCCGAAGCCGAATTGGTAGGTCTTAAAGCCTCGATCACTGCTGAACTGGGAGCCATTATCAACAACGGAAGCTATCCCGAGGAGTCGGACATTTCCATCTTCCAATCCATGGGTACGTTCTTAATAAAGTTCACTTCACACATACTCACTTTATCAGCACTTCAGAATTGTAGCCATCTCTGTCTTTTCCAAAATTATATTTATATATTTCTTACACCTTCAGGCATGGCTTCGGAAGATGCTTGTGTGGCCCAGGCGGTATATGATGCCATCCTCTCCAGCGCCGAAGATTCTTGATTGTCGTCGAGCTGGAAATCCATGTTCGGTATCAGCCCAATTCAAACCACCGGCTTGTTAACCTTTCATTTGTATATATGTGTATATAAAAAAGCTATTGGAAACATAACAAACTATTTTCCTACAAACTACAACAAACCCGGCGTCATCTCCGCCCTTTCATCCGTCGTCACTTCCAGATCACAGTCACATTCGTGTCCTTTTCGATATCCCGCTCGATGGTGCAGGGCGAGAGGCCCGTCTTGCAGCAGATCTCGTCGAAGCTGATCAGGCCGGTGTACATCTTTTGCCGCCCGGATGGCACCGAACCCGTAAACACCGGGTATTTATGGATGCATCGAATAAATCGGTGCTGCAGCCCAAAGATCACCATGCGCCGTTCATCGATGTTGTGATCCGGTGGACACAATCGCTGGCAAATGGCTCGCAGGGTGACACCATGCGTCATCGAGGCATAGAACTGGAAGATGCGCTGCACACTAGGTAGCGTCTTATCCGGACGCAGGGCCACATATTTTCGGCAGGCGCCACTCAATGCCGCACTTTGGATGAGATGCTTAAGGTTTTGAGTCATATAGACGTTGCTGTACTTGAGAATGGGCAGCAGCTGGACCACGCCATAGTAAACCAAATTCTGTATGCATGACTTTACTAGGTCTGTTTCCACGTCAGCTTCCGCTGCAATCCGGGCAACGTGATTGATTCCGTTTATATAAGGCAGGATCTATTAAAAAAAGAAAAGGATTTTAGTTAAGTGAGATTGATAATGTGGAGATAGATAATGTGGTAATATATAGGAAATCTTAAATCACACCATACCCCCAGGGGTACCAACCATGCTGGCGTTATTTCTAGAGTAAATCCTAGGCTAAGCCCGCACCTGTTGCGTGGTCAGGTCCCAATTGTCTAATGGAGCATCGCGCAGATTGGCCAGCAGCAGAGGGACCATGTGATCCTTGACCGGCGGAGGATCCGGCTTGTGCATAACGATCTTCAGGTAAATAGTATTGTCGCCTTCGACAATAGTGGCCACCTTGCGCTCGTTAAGGTCGCGCAGCACCGTCTCGAAGATGTTCTGTAGGCGACGTTTGTCGTCTTCCCGTGACAGGAAGCACGACTCCTCCTCCATCATGATGAGGTACTCGGATAGTTTCTTAACAACCGGCTCGTACTGTACGCTCCTAGCCCGCGAATCGCAGACAAAGCACAGATTGAATAGGAAGGCATTGCGGGCGTATTTCTGCTGATCCTGTATGCCTACCGGATAGCCGACAATCTTAACGTCCATTGCATTGACGGTGAGTATGCAGCGTTGAAGATGCTGCTTGGGAATAATGTACACGTTTATGGCATCAAACACATCCTTGGATATGTAGTTATCGGGAACCTATGGGGCGTCGATTGTATTGGATTATCTTATCTGGGTGTGCTCCTGGGAACCGACTCACCTGGCAGCTTATCTTGCAGCCGGCCGTTGCATGGAACTCGCTGAGAAAGATGCATCGAATCTTGCCTTCCGTGCTACCATGCGTTCCGCCTGCACCACCACCGGATCCTACAGCACCATTTGTGACCGCGCCCGCCGTTGCCGTCGACGCCGCCGCTGACTCGTTTGTGTGGGAGTGCATGCTGTCCGCTAGTTTCCAGTATCACCGTATCCGCATCCTAAGCTTGGACTCCAAAGGCACCGAATTTGCAGGTGGCACAACCGATAACAGTGGCGGAATTTTTGTAATGTAATGTTATGCTAAACAACAGAGGGACTCTTGCAAAGTGTGATCGTAACCTATAAAAATCTTGAATAATACCAAAAAATACCAAAATACGGCCTTGCGGTACGTGGTATATTTCAGTGCCCCTCCTACGAGACCACTTACAGTAGCCGTCTCGAAATGGAAGCGTGAGTATTGTTTATTTATGGAAAACAATAAATTTATAATATATACTTCCATTCAGGGTCAATCCGACATTCTCATATCTCACCAATCTAGAAGTTATGCAAATTCTGCAGAAGATCAAGAGCACAAAAAAGAAGTTTGGAATGTTTAACTTGGCCACTGTCACCTATGAAGTTAGTTCTTTCTAAAAATGTGAGAATTAGTTTTGGTTATTAACGAGGTTTTTGGATTTCACAGGCACTGCAATATCTGGAAGATTCGCCCTGCAAAACACAGACCCGCGAAAACATCGTAAACTATGTAAAGGATCTTTCTACTTATCGACTGAAGTCCAACGAGGTCTTGCAAATGATCAACGATCCGCCGACAAGTGCCCTCCACACGCAGCTGGTGAGGATTAGCTTAAAATGTTGCTTGCCCACACTTGTCATATGCTTTTTCCAACTATACAGCTCATTGACGACAATAAGGCACCACTTACTGATGAGGAGAACGAAAAGATCATCCAGCTAAGCTACAAGCACTTTCATGGGGCAGAAATTAAGGACGCCACTAAGGAAACAGCTACAGAAAAACCCGCAGAGACAACAACCAAGGCAGCTGGCAAGCAATCCGGAAAGCGACCCAAAACAGCAACAGTTGAAGCCAGTAAATCTGGTGAACCCACTACAGCAAGTGAAGCCACTCCAGCAATTGGTGAATCCAATCCAGCAATAAAGGAATCGAATCCAGCAATAGTAGAATGCAATCTGGCAATAGGTGAATCCACTCCAGCAATTAGTGAATCCAATCAAACAGAAGGTACAAGTTCCGAGGAACAGCCAATGAGTTAACCGTATTGGCTATTACGTTTAACGTTTCATATTATGTTTGATGTAGCGTACAAAATAGGCTAAAAAAAATTTATATTTTATTAAATTATTTATGTTCGCTTTTGATCGCCCAAATCTTCGATAACGTCTTCGTCAATTTCGGCCCACTTTTCGGGTATGACATCAAATAAGTCATCCTTGACGTCGCCCTGAATAACGATCTCATCGTCGCCAGTCACCGAAGAGCCGCAGGCAAATTTTGTGCCAAAAAACTTGGCGGCCACCTTGAGATCAATATCTGAAAATGGCAGATGGATAATAATAAGGCCTACATTTAGAGCATATGAGGCTAGTGCCAGCTTTTAACACTATTGTATAGCCTTTCTTTAAATTTCTGATAATGAGGTGGATTCCTCATGACTCGATGGAATTATACGATTTATAAATTGACAAAACCCACCGAAAGTGCTCAATCCTGTGACGACAGTCACGGACTTCTTCTTGCCACGTGCTGCTCGCGAAACACATATGCGCTTGGGCACGTCCTCCTTCTTCTTGACGCGCAACAATCCCTTGCCGCCGCGCTTCTGGCGCTTCTTGTCGTCATCTGTCCCATCGGCGGCAGCCGCCTCTTCCTCGATCTTGAGACGCTCGAAGTCGTCGGGCATGTGACGCTCCAACCAGTCCTTGCACTTCTCGTACTCCGGATAGTACTCACAGTACTGCGGATCGAATGTACACGCATATATGAATATACAGATTTTCTAAAACGTTTTTCTTTTCTATTTCCAAGTTACCTCAATGGGCATCGTGCAATGGCCGCAGTACTTCATCTGGATCGGATAGGTGACGCCTTCGCGCGGACCCACCTTCAGGCGGTCGGCGACGCTGTTGGTGCCCACGTCCTCGTTCGTCATTGCGGATCGGATTGACTGGCTGGGATTTACTTCGGATTATTCGGAATATATAGTAAAATATTGAGAATGCCTGAACGACAGATGATTTTTGCAACGCAAGCTGACCGTTTTCTGATTCGCCGGGAAAAAAGACTGAAATTGCAGATATACCAAACAAATATACCGTGTGTAGCAGAGTTGACCAGATAAATAAATCGCTTGAAAATTATAAGGGAATTGGTTAATTCATGAAGATTTAATTATTTAAGATCTTTATACTGCGGGTATCAATTTGTAATATTATTGCCAATAGTTTATAAAAATACTTATATGTACACAACATCGTGACACCTAATATGATTTCCTCAAAGTAATTGGGATTTATGTACTGAAATATAAAAAAAAAATAAACTAAAAAGTGGTGGCAAAAATGTTTTCTACAGTGCAATAATGATTTTTAAAAGTTTAAAAAAAATGCAAGAAAACCATGAGGTATTACTTAAAGAGATTCAAGTGTATTTTAACTTAAAATATTTGTAAATGTTCTGCCTTACACTTGAATTCGGATTTAAAGTTTCTGGGATAACTTTTTGTGCTGAATTTTTTATAGCCCATGCTGTGTATATATAAAATCATCTAAAACCATATACTCACAAAGAGGTATTACTTGAAGAGATTCAAATGTATTTAAACTTTTAATTTTTGTATATGTCAATGTTTGTATTTCGGATTTATAATTTCTGAGATTACTTTAAGTCCTGAATATTTATATGTACCGACTATACCTCAGATGTTGTATGAACCTAAGCAAAAAACTCCACACTTCTGTAAAATCATATAAAACCATATAGTTACAATGAGGTATTACTTAATATTTTGTGATAATAAGTAAGGTGTAGTTTTATAAATAACTCCATACGTTTGTAAAACCATATACATAGTTACAATAAAATATTTTTGAATATTTTGTGATTAATAAAATGTTGTTATAAAAATACATTTACCTCCATACTTCTGTAAAATCATCTAAAACCATATAGTTACAATGAGGTATTACTACATGTTTTGAGATAATTAATAAAATGTAGTTATCAAAATACCCACACTTATTTGTAAAAACATCTAAAACCATATAGTTGCACTGAAATATTACTTAATATTTTGAGATAATTAATAAAATGTAGTTATAATAATACGTAAACCTACACACTTCTGTAAAATCTTCTTTAATCATATACGTACAGTGAGGTATTACTTAATAAATTAAATGTAATTATACAAATACATAAACCTCCATACTTTTGTAAAATCATCTAAAACCATTATTAATATTTTGTGATAATTAATAAAATCTAGTTATAAAAATACTTGTGTTAAAAAAGCTGTAAGATAAACACAGGGTGACTATTGCAAATGTAAATATCATTTGGCGGGTTGTTATCGATATATCGGTTTAGCTTTTGTGATATCGATATCAGTAAGCGTCCCGGCCTAGCATTAATAAGCATTTAGTTTTCCCGGCAAAAGTGTTATTTTCCAAAAAGTAAGTAAAGAAGGCTATTTACTAGCTTTATTTACAAATTATTAAGATTCCCTTAGTTCCTTTTGCTTATTCGGACAGAAAATAACTAAACTTTCCCACAACCTTTAGTAATACTTGATATATTTCATATATTTTCACAAGTTTGCACTGAAGCACAAGAAATATATTTCATATACAACGCGCGTAAGTAACTGTACATATGGCCACAGACAAAACTCCAATGCAGGGTGCTCAGGTGCTCCTGAAGACCAAGACGCGATCCGCCAAGAGGCGGGACTCCAACAGTGACTCGCCAAAGACCTGGCGAGCATGCAATATTCGACTGTCAAAGCGCCTCCGACGCCTGATTGTCGCCGATAAGAAGCGGTCGCGACTTCGCGACCACGAAACTAATATATCCCGCAGGAAGATGGCTTTGTCGACCTGGGCTTTTTTAATTATCATCCTTTGTGCTGGCCTATGCCTGCATTTCAATGACAACTCCCTAACGGTAAATGAATTCTTGTTGAACTACAAGAACCAATACTACTCGATCGTCAACAACCGGGACAATTACTGCGACCGCTTCCAGCGGCTGAGCGATATGGTTGTACATGTCCGCCGCCAAGTCTTGAACCAGGATCAGGCGCTGAGCGATTTGGAACGTGCACTTGACAGCCCCACCCACCAGGTAAGTTTATGAAAATTCTTGTGAGCATAGGAATATTTAGTTTTCCAATATATATTCATGATATTTTGTAAATAGATCATTGCATTAGTGGGCTCCTCCGGCGTAGGTAAGAGCCAAACTGCGCATATACTACACGACCGCTTTCCTTGGCCAGAGAATGTAAAGACACTGTCGTGGAGCGGCACTCGATCCCTGCGCCGGGTACAGGGAATGCTGTCCCATCTCGTACACTGCGGTCAGAATATGATCCTGATTGACAACATGATACCCGAGGATGTGGAGCATGTGCCCGTCATCAATGAAATGATAAAAGAACGCAAGGATATCGCCAATAACACTGAGCAGCCGCACCTGAAACGGTTGACCGTAGTGCTTATCTTTTCCGTGAGTCGGATGCAAGCCAACGCGACCTACGAGGAGGAAATTCAGTCTGTGCAAAAACTGCCAAATACCCATGTGATTAGCTTTGCCACCCTGGAACCCATCCATCTCATCGACTGCATCCGTAGGGAGGCGAGGATTAACAAAGTGGTTTTAGATGATGGTGATATTGAGGAAATACGCAGGGGCAGTGATGTGCACACCTTTGGCTGCAAGGCCGTACCGGCTAAAGTGCTGCTCTACGGAAAACCAATGATCTCCGAGGATCGTAAAGGTAACGTAGGCCATTCAATAGACTGAATAACTTAGATTAGCATTACACCAAGAGCGTTCCAATTTAGAAGTTCTTTAAATTTTATTTTGATAATGTCGAAGACAATTCTGAAAGCCATACGTGATAAATTTAAAAGGATATTAGGACAAGACATTAGGACAGGTTTACCAAAAATTTCTACATGAAAAATTATGTATTGTTATTAAATTATGGAATGAGATCTAAAATAACCATAACTATTTTAATAACATTAATAAAATGTACATCATGACCAAAAAAATATCGATTTAAACTGATATGTGATGCCAAGTTAGTTCTTTAAATACTAAATAATCTAAAGTAATCTAGAATTTAAAAAATAGTCAATAAATAATGTTGTACTTTAAAATGAACAAACAAAACACTTAACATATTAATTATTAGTATTTGATTCAAATTTGGCAATCTAAATCAAAATTTTTGTCACAAAACTCGATCTTTGTGATCTTATCAAAAACTCTATGTCAAATACTACAATTTACTGTATTAAGTTCACTTTGTTTTCAAATCACGGAAAATGTATACGAAAATTGTTTCCCATTTTTGTGTAAGTTAGCTTTAAAGTGGATCCCAAAAAGTATGCCAGCTGTTTAGAAGCTTCATGCTCCGCTCCCAGGCCATAAACACAGGCAATAGCCACGCGCTTTTGCTGCTGTTCTGGCTTTTGGCCATGTTTGCGCTTTATGGCCATTGCGAGGAGGCTCTCCGTTATCGGATAACTTGGATAACGGTCGTCGTGTGGCGGCCCCATTTTGATATTTTACGGCAGCCATGGCCTACAAACGGAATCGGCGAACCAAGCCCCAAGTCGGTCGGATTTCCAGGGTCAAGTGCGTTTGCTTGCTTTTTTTATTGGCTTCTCGCACTTGTTGTCCCGCAGGCGCACACGACGTATGCGTGATGTAGGTGTACATGGGTGTTCCATTGAGACGACGGCGACCCACTTCCGGACGAATCCGGACTTCGACCTTCCGGATTACGCCCGCCGAATACCTGATTGGCCCCTTTTGTTTTTTCTCAGTGCTCTGTTATATATTTTTGAGGGTGCTACGATCATTGAATCTGAATCGCATTTTTGAGTATCTGCATCGGCAATTATACAAAATATGTACAACTTAATTTGGCAATTAGTTAAACAATGCGAATAGCGTTGGCTAATTGGCGAGCAATTAGCCGTGGGCGCTATAAATTGTTGCAGTTTGTTGGTGATCTTCGAAAACCAGAAAATGAAGCAGTGGATCGGTTGGATTGTTGGCCTGCTCTGCATCCTGCTAGTCCTGAAAGGAAGTTGGGTAAGCTATCGTTCCGTAATATTTGGTTGCTTTGGATTTTAAAAACTATTTCTCATTTAGAGCACCACCTACGAGGTAATCGGCGATGAGAAAACCTTGGATATAGTTTGCACTGCTGCAGAAGATAAGGGGAATATACCGATTTCTAAGATTCTGGACATAACCAATTTGACCTTCGATATGGCCGCCGATATGGAAACTTTGTACTTCAATGGGAACATTAAGGTCCTGATGGATGTGCCAAGTGGTCCGATTGCTATGGAGGTTGACATATTTCGATGGGAACGGAATTCATGGACTCCAACGCAACTTGCATTAAAGCGGAATGACTTATGCCAGTCTTTGACGAGTCCCCGGGAGCTTTGGTACCCCATCTTTAGAAATATACCGAAGGAGGAATTGATATGTCCGCCAAACAAGGGGGTGAGTTTTCGATTTAATTTTATACAATTTTAAGAAATTTAAATATCTATTAAGAGACTGGTTGAGGAAGAGAATTAGTATTTAAGATGATTGAATATCCTTACTTTGCACTTCCAAAAATACTCTTCACTTGATAATTTGGGACTTTTTTGGTTGAGGACAGCACCTTTTAATGAAAGGCTTCAATTTGTTTAAAACAATTTGCAACTTGCAGCATATTTATACCCTTAAAAACGTGAGCAACCATGAGTTTGTCAGAAACGTGCCCTCTGCGGACATTGCCGGTGATCTGAAGGCCTTGGTCCATCTAACCACTGGGAATATAAAGACCTGTGCTGTGCTCTTCTTCAAGGTCTACATCACTAAGCATTGAAAATAGAATAGGGGTTGTGTGTAGCGGATTGTGGACCATGACAATGGACGAGTGGATCTTGGTGAGATCCCACTGTTTGCTTAGTTTATAGTAAGCGGCTGCTTTGTTTTTATGGCCTGATTTGGGGGTGTTTGCTCGGCTTCAATGGCGCGTCCCACTGTTTATGGCTCTAACTAAATGATTTGCAAATAAAAGCGAAATATTTCATATTCATGCACTCGAAACAGAATCCCAGAAATGCTTGTTCTTTGCCATTTTGCCAGTTTTCTCGGTCAGCTATTTCGGTTTTCATATTTCTGCTGTGGTGATAAGCCACCGTCACCGCCATTCGAAATGGGAACTTAGCCCAGTAATCCCCTTCTGGTATTTGCCAAAAGATCAGATGCGGCGCCATCCCATCGCAGCCTCACTCATTCTCCACATTCATCTTCGCCGTCCAAAAAATCACTGAACTCATTCGCTGTTGCGCGTGACGATACCTTCTCGTTTAAGGTGAATTCCTTCCCTCTCCGAACTGACTTTGCAGATCTCCGGAAATTTACAATGTTTGCGGGTTTTCTTATTAAACGAATGGTTAAAATGCACGTGGTTTGCATCTGTCATGTGAATCATTTGCGGGTTCAAAATTAAGCAACTGACTGGAGAGATGTGCCAATATTTGTATACATTTTTAATGATCATCTTTCGGGAGGTAGAGAGTTTAGTAATATTTCTATAATAGCAATAGTTTATTCGCTGGGATATCTATATTTTTCTTACAACTTAATTTGTATGTGATTAATTATAGTATTTAATGAAAGATAACAGTTACTTGTATCCTTTGATTTATATCTGAAATTAAAAAAAAAGCATTACATATATTGCTGGCAATCTAGTTATCGCAATACTATAGATGATGAAATATATCAACCTGTTGGGAGTTGTTAGCGTATAGTTTCCGCTTTCCATGAGATGTTATAGAATACGTATGACTCTATTTGTTTTCTGGGCCGCTATCTGCTTGCCTCGCGCTGTGTCGTAATAATAATAAACAAACGATTAGCTGACGAAAGTCAAGTCACAACAAACGATAAATTCGAAATATAAATACTAATAAATCTGCACTCGACCCGGCATATTCCGTCTATTTTTTCTGTCTTGTTTGTACATTCAATTTTTAATGCTATATAAGGTCGATTCTGCTGAGGATTGGTCTTAACTGCTGGGTACTAAAGTTGTCGATAAAAAAAACCTATTAAATGGCACAGCTGTCGGTATCAGTATGCGATTTGAGATCGATGCGATGCGATTACAATGCCCTAGACTAGACGATTCATATACAGTGCGTTTCGGAAGTGTAATAATGCTGGTTGCTATGTTTAGAAATCATGATTAGAAAATAGGTTTAAATAGTAAGCTTATTGTTAAGTAAGAAGTTCAAGGCTGGACCCGTGCAAAGCATTCTTGTCAACCAGTTTTAATTCTTGGGTTTACTCTCAGGTTTTGGTTGCTATAAAATAACAGATTAATGCAGGAAATTAATTAGAAAAGTTGAGCCATGCAAACCAGAGTCGGATTCGGGGATGTCCGACGATGAAAGTTTAAGATTTCAGCGCAGAAATGTTAAGTAAGGGAAGTATCCCCGTTGGGTTGGTCCATAAATCCTTAAAGGCAGCAGTCCAAAAGATAAAAAACCAAAGCAGAGGAGTACCTGGTCACCAGGACTGACCATTGGACCTGGCCGATGGATGGTGGTTTGGCCAATAGTTGTTTTTAATATACTCCCGGTTGTTAAAGCTGACCGTTGAATTTAAAAACTTAACTTACTCCATTAATTTACAAACACTGCGGATTATAGGGCAAACTATCCCCTTGGTTTATCCAAAAAATATAGTAACGATTTAAATAATTACCTTAAAGTAACTTAAAATGAAAATATTTAATATAAATATAATAATAAAATCAAATATAATATTACAAAAAGTTTGCCACTTACCTTGATTTCCGGCTTGCCAAAGTCCAGTTATGGTATAGTAGGCATCTTCATATATATCCAGCATCAAACGTCATCAAAAGTTCCAAAAATGGATTTCCGAAAAAAATCCATGATGCACTGCATCCTCTTGGAGTCCATGAGGTACCACCAATATGATAGGGTACCATCACCACATCATCCATACCACTTAGAGGCACTTTACTAACACAAACACACACACACACACCGAAATGACTTGACTAATTATGGGCTACTGGCTGCCCTACTGCCTACTGTTGGGCTAGAACCAGTTGGGAATTATATATAGCCGGGAGTGTCCAAAATTTCACTTAACATGGATTTAACATAACATGGCCGTTAACATTGAAATTCATATTAGCATAGCCGTTAACATTCAAATTGGACGGTAAATTCATGTTAACTAACATTTATGTTAAATTTTAAATATTTCTGTTGATCTTTAAAGTTTCCGTTGGTCTTTAAATTGTCACTGACTTATAAAAAAACCGATAAAATTCAAAAAAATTATATATTTTTGTTCACAAAAATTTTAATAAAAGCTGAAACTTAAAAATATTTTGGCATTGTAATAGCCCGTTGCCCTCGATTATTTTGGCCACTAACTAGAGCCTTTGGCGGTCTCTCATAGTCGTTAAAAATAAGTTGACTCTATTCAAATAGGCCTATATATCGACCAGTAGTTAAGAACTGCTATTTACAAAAATGTATTAGATTAATTCAAATGTTTATAACAAATACTTTACTGCACCGCACTGTTTGAATGCAAATTTCCCATCGAATGCTCATGCAAATGCAATATAATCGGAATTCAAATGCATCAATTACAATATGTATAATAATGGTCACAGCTGATGTGAGCCGATCGAGTGTGTTTGCATCATAAACACCGGTATTAACTAACCAGCAAAACAAAGACCGCTTTGAACTGGTGTTGACCCGATCACACCGGATTCATAAAGGCCAGAACTTTATATGGGTTATAAAGGGGAGAATGTTAACCTATTATGATATAAGTCCCTGGTCTTAAGGGCAATGTTGATTTTGGCATTGTTAAAAGCCTACTGACTTCCTGAATTCCAAAACCATAATTTAGATGTATTTAATCAAAAGCTTTTATTCCTGCGATCTGTCATTATCAGTGCACGCTGAAGCCTAATAGATATAACTCCCACCAATTATCAGAATAGACAACGAACGTTGAAATCTCGAAAGGAAAACACGCATACAGCTTATATTTAAATATATATATTTATTTATATTTATAACGATACCCAGAAGAATCTGCATCTGGAGCTGAAGTTGTATCTTTCGGTTTCGTAAGTTACATTTAATGCTTATTAAACGCAGCGCCGACATTTTATTTATTTACATTTCGTAACATTATTCTTGTTTTTGTTTTTAGTTCACATATTTACTTAACTTTTACTGTTAGTTATATAAATGCGATAACTAATGGCGCCTAATTCATGCAATTTAACAGGCAGGTCTAATGCGACATGCATATAGATATATATTTAGATATAGAAGTGCGGATCTGAACGATGTGCTTAGGTACTTGGCTACCGTTTTGTATATAACTCTATAAACATTGTTTGTTCGCTCGTTCTGTTTGTTTGCCTGTTTGCACTCCAAACTATGCAAATAATTAAGACCCCGGGATGCGATTCTCTTACGAAACTACGAACAATGCAAGCCCTAGGATAGAATCCACAAAAATTATTTTTAGTTTTAATGGCTGATTATTTTTTAAGCCATAAAATATGTTTATTTCCTTGTTTTCCCACAAAAACAAGTAGCTTGTTGACTAAAAGCTCTAAATATTTACTTTACTTTATAGTTAAGGCTTTAGGCTTGTATTTTGAATAGTTAACACCTTTTCTAATATCACTCATACACCCTGTTTGCAGATTATAACCTGCCTTAAACTATTTTCAAACTAAATCGGACGCTGATTTCCATGCATTTTTAAGTTCCTATTTTCAGTGGCATAATTTAATGCATATATTTGTTTGACTTTCATTTCATCTCACCGAAAAGTATAAACAAATTTAAAGACTTTCCATTGCCTTAAAAATAAATTATGACAGTTGCACTGAAATTCTCTGGAAATTCCCTTTCGAGGGCATTCAGCCCATTGGGTTCGCTACTCTGCGACGATCAGTTCCTGCTTTCTGACGTTGCACTTTTAATTTGTAGCATGTCGTTGGCATTTCATCTACTCACCACTCATAGCCACCCACCGACAACCACCCAACCATCCAACCACCCACTCTCATTTGATTAAATAAAGAAACAGCATTTAATCAAAATGAGAAGAGCAAACACGCAGAGTACACACTGTGGGCCATTCGTCGTTCGCATTTCGTTTATTAAGCAAATAAATAAATGAGAAGAGTATTAAATTAATTAAATAAATAATATTTTCAGGAACAAATAAATAAATAACACATTTTATTGCGCAAAAAGGCAAACAAACTGAATGTGGAAATACAACACGCAAGTGGAAGATTCAGTTTTCGATGGTCAAGTCTGAGATCTTTTTGAGTTTAACATCTTCATTATTATTCGAATTATCTAGAAATTGGCATGGCTTTTGTATCAGATAACTGTCAAATCAAGACTAGATGCACTTTAAACTGTTGCACAAAAATAACCCTGCGTTTCGTATACCCTTGTATAATAACGAAAAATTCCCAGACAGTTACGGATTCCGGATCACGGAGTTACGGATCACGTGACCCTGACTTGGACATGCTTCGCTGACTTGTCTTTATTATTTGCCTAAACCATTTTCAATTAGTTGTATGCAATAATTGATAGATTAGCTAAATATGGCAATCATGCAAGCGCTGATGAAGGTTGTCAGACTTGCCGGATTGGCAGATTCCCTTTCGGGTCCCCGGTAATTTGTCCGTAATTACGGCCATCACCTAATTGCCCAGCTATCATTGTGTAAACGGTACAGTGGATATAGGGAAGCCGCTGGAAATCCGATCGCCGAACATTTAGCTGAGATC